GTTATGTAATAGCTCACATGACAAGAGGGCACACTCATTTCTCCTCCAACGACTATCGGTGGCAGTTCAGAGAGGAAATGCTCTTATGGTTCAAGATACACTACCATCCACCTTCGAACCCCTTTATGGCACATAAGACATAACATATTCATGGTCTAGTTGTTATTATTGTTATTTTTATGCTTATTTTGTTCCTTTAGTTGTGTCTTATTTATTTATTTTCTTCTTTTCCCTTCTGTCCTTTCTTCTCTTCTCTCCCTCTTTCTTCCCATCCTCTTATTATTATTATTTTAATTATGATTTTTATGATAATAATAACAATTAAAAAAAAAAAAAAAAAAAAAATAATAATAATAATAATAATAACAATAACAATAATCAAATACATATATAATCGAACAATTTACAAGTATAATAATAATAATAATAACGATATGACTTTTTTTTTTAATGTATCTCTGTTGTCTTTATTCGTACTTTAGTAATAATAATAATGATGAAACATAATTAATTTACAATAATCCCAGCTATGTTAAGTAATCAAAAGGAAGCATAATTTATGAAGTGCTATGGTAGTGTTTTTGAGTAAAATATGAGTAAAATACATGTAATGTGACTTATCTCTGAGGTTTGATATCCAATGAAATATACGTCTTATATCATATGATGTACTAATGTGGGCAGAGATGCACCCTAATCCATTATGACACATCCTGTGTATCCTATGTGAAATGGTGTGATGATGATGTCATCCACTCCATATGCATTTGATCCTCAGGAACAGGTGAAGATTGTACTTCTACATGTACATTGATTAACTCTTCCTCTTCATTATGTACTAACATATCTTCAGGAGGTGGTCCTTCTTTAAGAGAAAGTAGTCGTTGATCTTTCCTCTCCTGAAGAAATCTACTATTAGCGATGTTATTGAGTCATTGGAGAGGAAATGGTGGCATAAACAGAATATCCTTCGGCTTCCTTACTCTGGAGCAGGCGACAAATGTCAATCCACAAGAGAACTCCTTCCCTACACCAATGACTACTTTGTCTAGAGTGAGTCCCTGCGATTTGAGGATCATCACTGCCAACGCTAGCTTGAGTGGTAGTTGAAGGCATGAACATCGACCACCTGAAGAAGACCAATTACGACGTACTGGAGTGATTGTTACTGTTCCATCATGCACAGTTGGTCCAGTGTAACGATCAAACCGTACCATTACAGCCACTGGTAGATGAGGACGTGTGGTTTCCTTGTAGCAGATATCTTCAACTGTTCCCATTGCTCCATTAACTAATCCCACTTCAACCCACAAGTTGCTAGTAAGCATTACTACTGCTGATCTTGCTAGCATCACAACTGGTTCCAAGCCACCAGCATCATCAGTTGGAGCTTTGGCTGCATTGGCTCCAGTGGGTACTGCCTTGATGGTAGCAATTGGGTGACCACACTCACATATAACATAGCAACATTGTGATCAACAACAGCTTCAACAGTAGGGAACAGTCGAAGAGCATTTACATATGGAGACTGGTCTTGTACTCTAATTGGTGTTTGCTCCATGAGGTGGTCCAGTCTTCCATTGTAGTATCTCCATTCCTGAGACATATTAGAATGTCCCGAAATACGATCTGATAAGGATCTTGTCCAGATTGCATCATTACTTGGGTTAAAGTAAATGCTGTCTCAAACTGACTGTGTGCTTTATACCCCTGGTCTGATAGATCTGATCTTGTGACTGTAGAATAAATGGGAAGGTCTATTGCTGGTGGTAACTGTCCAAAATCTCCAAACAATAAAATAGAGCACCCACCAAACACAACTTGTGACTTTCCAGGAAATGCTTGCCTCAGTCTACGGTCAATCATACCAAGGGTCTTCCTTCCCATTATTGACATCTCATCAATGATGAGGTACTTGGTAGATGACATTTCATCTTGCATCTTTTGCAGATTGCTTCCTTCCATTTCCTTAAAGTCACCTCTCACTGGTAGGTGCAGGAGACTATGGAGTGTCCTTCCTTCAATAATAAAAGATGCCACTCCTGTTGGTGCTGCTACTCTGACACTACCACCCAACAACCTCAAGCAGTTGATAAGGTATGATTTACCAGTACCAGCTGTACCATTGATGTGGAGTTGTTCTTGACAGTTACTCTCAAAGTGCTGTTTGACAGTGGTGTACACATCCAACTGTCTTCCATGAAGATTGTCTGGAGTAGCAGATGTGGTAAATGGAGTGGGTGTGGTATTCTGTCTTCCCTGAGCAATGAAATGGGGAGCATTATCAATATCAGAATATGATCTTGCTGCTTCTGCCCAATCATGCTCCTCAGTTGTGTTGACTGGCTCAAGTTCACTGGTTCTTTGGCAGATGAACATCCATTCCTCTTGAGCTCTTGGTTGCTGGTTCTGTTGCTGTTCGTCTTGGGATGAGTCCTATAAAAATATTAATTTATCACAACAACTAACATGCATGTACATGTAATGGAAGTAGTAAGGCTTTAGAAATGCATACTTTTAAGTTTATTCAGTATATTTAAAATTTTAACAACTAAATATTACATTACAAGTACATGTACATACTTCTTTGTCTAGAACAGTAGCTGATGATGACCGGTGCTGCTGCAGTCTGAATATATCCTGTTCTAGGGATCTTGGAACATTTCCAGACTGGAGAAATTCAGCATAGGCTTCAGTTAAGGTGTCATAGGTAGACTTGAGTTCATTGATATCTCTGAATGGCTTGCACTTCATCAGAGACTGACGACAATACTGCTCATAGTTGGGGCCAGATGGATCAGGTTAACAGTAAGGTCTGGGAGTAACAATGACTACTTTACTTCTCTTCTTTGGTTTGTCACCAAGCTCCTTTGGCATGGTGTAGTGACGAGTAAAGTCAAGTATAGTGATGGTATTGAACTGTGGAGTAGTTGGACGTGACATATGGTGATCCAGCACAGAATGAGCTGTTGCCCTCTCTCCCTCTTGTGCAGTGTTTTCAACACTTCTAGAGCCATCAAGGCTGAGAGTGAAGAAACTCCTTGATGCCTTGTACATAGGGAGCTGCAATAGAAGGTGACAAGTTTTCTGTGCTGAATGTCCCTCTCTCCAAAACTGTTCATGAGGAGCTTCTGGACAGCTTTGACTGATTTGTTGCCTTCTTTGAGAGAACGAGGAATTTTGGCAAAAGTATCCCTCAAAGACTGTGATCGTGTCTCACTTTTGGTCACATACTTGGTACAGTACTCAGCATCCCTGTTCCTTGATACAATGTACTGCATGTCGACATTAGCACGCCAGGATGTTAGTTAAAAGGCATTGAAGCTGTTCAGCATCCCATCATTACATGCAGTGAGTATTACAGGCTCCTCCACTGTGATGTTTATGGTGGTCTGTGCCTGAAGATCTTTAGTATATCCAAACTGACACTCCTGCTTGCCATTATGTGTATGTAGGCAGTAGGACTCTGAACAGTAAGTGTGTCGTTTGCAGGTAGCAATTACATCATTCAGGTCTTCCTCGAAATCTGTTACTTTAGAATATGACTCATTGCAAATGTCTGGATCAACCTTTGCTGGTGGAGCATCACTGACATTACTGCCATCAGGAAGGACAGCAGGATTGATGGTAGAGATGATCTTGTCAGCGTACTCAATGATCTTTTCCTTTTTTGACTCCACAAGATCAGGTGATGATGAGAGAAGTTTCTCAACATTAGGAGCATTGGGTAGCCAAGCTAGTCCATGTACATTAGGACTGCCCCGATGTTGCCACTTAAACCTCATCCAGTAGTCTGTGGCTCCAAGTATACCAACATAAAACACTTCCACAAACCTTTGGATCCTGTAGGTAAAAAACCAGTCAGCTAGTGCAGGATTATTGATAACTGCTCTAGCTCAAGCTTGTTTGTCATCTGGATCTTCAGGACAGATGAGGTGAGCTAACTCAGGCCACTGGTGATCAGCAGCACTGTTAGTGAAGATGGTGGGCTGTCCCAGAGTGTCTATTATAGCAATGAGCTTGTTCCTCTCCTTAAACCAATACTGTCTAGTGCCACGCACACTGGTACCATAATGGACAACTTTGTTTGAGAACCTTTCTCCTTCCTGACCGATCATGTCTCTGAGGTCATCTACAGTAAGGTGAGCTTCCCCTGGATGTTGCTTGATGTAGAATCGTCCTGTCTCATTTGCTCTGCAACGCATTTCTGTTTTGACTGCAAAAAAACGGAACCGGGGGTGTTTAGCTAATCTTCCATCATCATACTTCATTAAATGAGTGAAGTAGTCAGCAGTTCAGATACGGTGAGATCTAATGCCATTGTAGTCAGCAGCACCTATAATATGTGACCATAATTGATAAAAGGTACCTTATGGCAGATAGGAAGATTGGTCTTTATGGCCTGAAAAATCCAACTTCCTGAGCTTTATTTATCATAAAATTTCTTCAAAGGATGCAAAAAGTTATTATGTAACTTTTAGGAACAATACTTGTTTTACAGAGCACTCACAGGTCGATATTTTTCATTATAATGATGAATTTTAAAATCTGCCATAAGGTACCCTTTGTCCATTATGGTCACATATGAATTTACAAAGCATAACGTCTCTGTATAGTATATCTTGTAACAAACCTATTGGAAATAGAGTTGGGAATACCATTGAGAAGTATCCCTTTCTTGTGAACTCATAAATAGGAGTACCACCATCACTGGGCCACATGAGGGTTGATGACTGGGACTGCCCCAGTGCTTGTTGAATTGTCTCCCTCTCTGTAGCTGGAGGTGCTGCATTAGGTACAAATGATGAAGAATAGTGATCTTCACTTGTACATGTAGCTTCACCAAATGTAACTTCAGCTTCTGATTGTACTGGCTGAACTGAATGATGGTCAGCGAGGTCTCCATCATCAGGTAGACTTGCCAAGCTATCTTGATTTAAACAGAGTGCCTCTGATAGTAGATATTATTGGCCATCAACCATGTAAGAGCGTCTTCAACAACTCGTCTACGAACATGAAAGTCTCTGTGACTCTGTTTCCTCTCCTTCCTAACAACTAGTACACTGATGTCAGTTGCTAGACATGGTAATGAAGTAGCAAGGGAGTGCACGTCTTGTGGAAAGTTAATAACATGTCCACTGTAGCCTTATTGTCCATGTGGAAGTTTATATATAGACATCACTGGCATTACAGCAGATATTAACATTTCCTCTGCTTGTGACAGTGCCTAATAAAAAAAGAAAATAAAATTAAAATTATAATAATTCATGATAACTATTAATAATAATCTAAGAAATATTATACATGCATTTGTGCTGGCACAGTTCCAGGATCTATGTTTTTGCCTTTTGAGAACTTTGGGATGTGCCGGTCATGAGCACACCTACACTCCATGACCTCATTTGGCTGAGAAGAGACTGACAGATTGGGAAAGCTTTCCAAACACGTCTCATACTTTGAAGAAGTAATAGAGGAAAGAGTTTCATGAAGATTCAACATCTGTGTGTTGATAGGCAAAATCTCTTCCTCCTCTAGTCTCCTACATTGAGCAGCCATAACTCTATTACCAGCCAGCTGTTGCTCTCTCTTAGCAGGGTCCTCTTGTTCTGTTGATGCATTTCGAGTTCTATCACCTGCTAATCGCTGTTCTCTCTCAGCAGGGTCCTCTTGTTCTCTCCTCAATGTAACTCGAGCTGTTTCACCTGCTAATCGCTGTTCTCTCTCGGCAGGGTCCTCTTCTTCTCTCCTCAATGCCGCCCAAACTCTATGAACTGCAAGCCTCTGTTCCCTCTCATCAGGTCCCTCTTGTTCTCTTATCCTTCGCATCCTGGCTCTTTCTCCAGATATGTGATCTTCTCTGTCAGAAGGAGACTCTACTTGTTGTCTTTGGGCGCGATGAGACCTAACTCTAGCATTTCTATTGGACCTCTTCGCTCTTTTCTCCTCCTCAGTCTCATTCCTTCTTCCCTTCCGATCACGCTCGTTACGAAGAAGTCGACGAGTTTTACGAGCATCTTTTTGTGAATAACTCATGTTTTAAGCTTCAGCTTCTCTTGTATCTTAAGTACTCTTCAACTACTCTCTTCCAGTTAAGTTGCTTTACTCTTACTCATTATCTTTGCACATGGTACCGTAATTATCAAAATTATCATTTTAAAATGTGTGATTATTATTTTTTATAGACGCATAAATAGGGGTGACGTACGTGTACATACAAACAAACTCAACTCGACTATGTTGGGCTTGCTTTTGCTCGCCCCAATAATATTCTGCTTCTGTATATGTAAAGAACATAAAAAATTTTAAAGAACAAGGTTAAATAGGATTCCGAACGACCAACGAAAATGTGAAATGAAAATCCTACTCGTAACACAAATTCTACTCTACATTGTAATTTCAATGTTAATAAGTAAGAATTACAGATCACCTTGCAATGTAGAGTAAAATTTGCGTCACGAGTAGCATTTTCATTTCGTATTATCATTGGTCGTTTTGAATCCTACTTAACCTTGTTTTTTTAAAAATCTTGTTTGTGTTGATTTCTTTAGTTGCCATTGTGATGCTTGTTGATTTTACACAAACAACAATCGTCATTATTATTATCATTGTTGTGACTTTACATCATTTATGAGAGACAGTATTGAATGGACATGCTGAAGGAATATCAACTATCCTGATGACAAGTGAAATTAATACTAGTCTTGACTTAAGTTCTTGTTCAAGAAGATGTGAGCTGAGAGTGTCCATCTTCCCTGCAATGTTGCAGCTATTTCTGTTCTTCCAGGCTGTTGTCATTATTATCATTGCATATCATTACATTAATTTGTTTGTTTTTTAAAATAAAATAAAATCATACACTGCAAGATTAATACCTTCTTTTAGCTGGAAACAGTAGTTGATTCCAAGCATAGCTTGGTAAAAATAAATTACTTCTTCCAGAGCTGCAGATCTCAGCATGCGCGACCACACCCAAATTTTAGAGCACATGCTTCTTTTATTAAAAAACTGGCGGCATGCAGCTAAGATAGCTCTATGCAGCAGTCACAGTATCACTCTGTTGGAGTAGATTTGTGTAAGATTATCCTTGTGGCACCAACAGATACTGAGATACACACCGACAACTGGATTGACAAGACTTCTGACTTGATAATGATGAAGATGAAAAAAAGGTGGCTGAACAAAACGGCCGGTACGCCAATTTTTGGTTTTCCTCTTAAACAAGGTCTAGAGCCACGCTATGGGTACTAATGGTGTCCTCTGGTTAAGATAAGGTCCTCTATAAAATGTGGTAGGCATAGGAGCTCGTTTTCCCAGTATAGCAAGGCTGCAAAAGTCGTGGCAGCCATTTTATTTGGGGGTGAATTCTACTTAGTAACGCTACTGCGTTACTAATATACCTCTTGATTGCTCTACTATACTTTGCAATGATGTAAATAAATAGTAATTATTGTGATAGACATAAATTAGCCTTTCAACAATTATTGATTGAATACATTACAGTCATCACAATTAAAACATCTAAATTATGAATTAGTTAGTTTACTATTGCATTCTTCAATGTCTGTGATTCAGTACCATAATACACAATTAAAAATTATTGTTTATACTTCGTAGGATTGTCATTGGGCTCGCCATGCTTGTGTAGGCTGGAACTAAACTGTTGATTTGTCATTCTTTCATTAAATTTTTTTATGTTAAAGGAATTAATACTCTTTCATAAAATTCTGTAGGGTTGAAATTTTTGTACTATTTTT